CGTTGATCTGCCGTGGGTGTTTGAAGGATTTCCGAGTTCTCGCCTTTCAGTTTCCCGACGCTCTACGACGGTACAAGAGGCCCCCAAGACCGCTCCAACGCAGCCCAAGAGGCTTTCCAAGAGGGCCCCAAGACGGCCCGAGAGGGCAACGAAGCGGAGCCCTAAGACGGCCAAGACGGACCGCAAGAGGGCCCCAGGACGGCTCCAAGAGAGGCCCAAGGAAAGGGAACGCGAAGCCCGAGGTGCCTGGAGAGCTGCAGAGGACGCCCCTCGGAGGACCGAGGGAGGCGGCCCGTGGAGCTCTCCCAGAGCGGCCCCAGATGGCCCCAGGAGCGCTCCAAGACAGGCCCGGCGGGCTCCAGGACGCCCACGATGGCCCCAAGACGGCCCAGGAGGCCCCAGCATGAGCTCAAGATCTTCAAGAGGCCTCCCCGACGCCCCTCAGGAGGCCTCCAGGAGGCCCCTCAAGGGGGTCCGAGGAGGCGCAAATCATAGGTGTTCCGTCGGTTTGGCAAGGATTTTCGAGCTCTCGCCTTTCCAATATCCCGACGCCCTACGACAGCCTCCAATATCCCCCAAGATGGCCAAAGTGGGCCTCGACAAGGCGCCCGAGGCGTCCAAGACTGCCCAAGACCGTTCCAAGACGGCCCCAAAAAAGGACGCAGAAGGGGTAACCCGAACCGACTATCCGAGCTTCACCTCGAGAGGCTCCCTGGAGGTGCCTAGAGGCCCAAGAAGCCCCCAAGAGGTTGGCCAGAGGCCTTCAGAGGCCTTAAAAGCCTTGCAAGAGCGCCCGAAGAGGAAAACATAGTTTATTCCCCGTAGGTTTCCGAAGGATTGTCGAGCTTTCGCCATGTCCGTTTCCCAGCCACGTCTGCCTTTGATTCCCGACCGGTGGTGCTGGAGCACCTTCCAGCCTCCTTTTCCCCCTCCACCATTCCTCTCGTCCTTGGATAATGTACCTGTCTCTGCTGTTCCTCTTATTTTTCTTCAACGCTCAACCTCCTCGCGCCTCCCCGCAAACCTTTCCGAATGGAAAAGGATGGACCTGGACAAGGAAAGCTCCAGAGCCATGCGCGGTACGTCACAGCCCCTTTCTTCAGGGTCGAAATGGCCGCCAGGATTATCAGGTCATCGCACGTGAGGGCCACCCGAAAACTACCACGGGATCAGACCCATGCCTGCAAGCACCAATTTCGTATACATGCGTGTCACGAGGCGGGGGGGCCCGGGACGGGGTCCTCGACGGCGCGTGGGGTGACCGGGGGATCCGGGGGACCGGCCAGTGCGACGGGGGCTCTTGGATCGCCCGCAGACGGCGCCGGGTCGCCAGAAATGGCGTTCCAGACCGCGAAAACGAGCAATGACGGCCCGAGGTCGCCCCAGAAACAGCCTTTGATTGTCCAAGAGTCCTGCAAGATGCCCCAAAAAGCTTCCAAGATGCCTCCCAAGGAACTGCAGGAGGCAACAATGATTCTTCCGTTGTTTTTGTTAATTCATTTTCGAGTTCACGCCTATTGAGTTCTCGACGCTCCGCGACGGCCGAAGAGGCCCCAATGACCGCTCCAAGACAGCCCCAAAGGCCTCGAAGACGACCACAAGACAGCCCAAGAGGGCCCCAAGACGGCGCCAGAGGTGCCCAAGACGGCCCGAAACGGCCTCATGACGGCCCCAAGAGGGGGCCAACAGGGGTACTACGAAGCGAGAATCCGAGCTTTCCACCCCGAGAGGCTCTCAAGAGACCCCGAGAAGTCCCCAACATGACCCGAGAAGCCCTAAGACGTTCCCCAGGGGGTCGAAGATGTTCCAAGAGGCCTCCCACGGAGGCCCCATCATTGTCTTGCCATCGGCGGTTTCAATGGATTTTCGACATTTCAGTTTTCGGGCACCCCGACGCTCCAAGACGACCTAAGAGGCCTTCAAGACCGCTCCAAGAAGATAACCCAAGAGGCCTACAACAGGGCCCCAGAATGCCCACGAGGGCCCCAAGACGGCGCCAGAGGCGCCCACGACGGCCCGGGACGGCACTAAGACGGCCCTAAGAGGGGCCTCAGAGGGGTAAAACTAACTGAGAATCCGAGCCTTCCACCCCAAGAGGTTTTCAGGAACCCCCAAGAGGCCCCCACTAGGATCTAACAGGCCCTCAAGAATATCCCCCGAGGGCCGAACAGTTTCCAGTAGGCCTCCCAAGAAGGACCGAAGAGGCGCAACTCATTGCTTTCCCATCGGTTGTTGACACATTGTAGAGTTTTCAGCCTTTTGGCATCCCGACGCTCTGGACGGCCCAAGAGGTCCCCGAAACCGCTCCAAGATAGCAGAAGATGCCTTGAAAGAGCCCCAAGACGGCCCACGAGGCCCCAAGAAGGTGCATGAGGTGCCCCAGACGGCCCGAGAGGGCTACAAGACAATCCCAACAGAGGCCCAAGTAGGAGATCACGAACCCAACAGCACAGCCTTCCGCCCTAAAAGGCCCACGCAAGGCTCCAAGAGTCCCCAAGAGCGCGCTTCTCTATTGCTTGGGGCATGACGGGCGTCGAGGCCCCCGGACCACCCCCCGATGACGTAACCCTCCCCTCCCCCCAGGGCGTTCCGGGCACTGCCGCCGTGCGCATCGTGATCCTCATAGGTGTCCGCATAGGAATCCGCATAGGAATCTGGTCCGCAGTCGTCGTCGTCGTCGTCGCCCATCGTCGTTGTCGCTCGTCGCTCGTCGCTCATCGTCGTCGTGCGCGCGGACGCAGCTGGAGCCTGTCTTTTTATTCGGGGCCGATGGCGTCAACCATCTGGGGGGGTGGATGGGGCCGATGACGTCGTGTTTCGGGCCGGCCGCGTGCGGGAATGCTTAGGAATGGCCGAGGACGGGTAGCAGCAGCATGTCGGTGGCGATCTGCACCACGGCGCCTGTGTACACCACAGTTCCTGCGTGCACCACAGCGCCTGTGTACATCACACCGCCCATGTACACCACAGCAGCCGCGTGCAACACAGCGCCAGTGTGTGCCACAGTGCCTGCTGGCACCACAGCGCTTGTGTACACCACAGCGCCTGCGTACACCACCTTAGCCGTGCGCAACACAGCACAAGTATACACCACACTGCTTGCGTGCGCTACAGCGTCTGCGTACACCACGGCGCCTGTGTGCAGTACAGCAACCGTGTGCAACAAAACACTGTTGTATCTAGAGTGATATAAGGAATCCTGCTGACAAAATGGAGCGCCTGTGCATTCAACAGAGAACAATGTTTTATCCAGGATTTGGAAAAGAATCCTTGTGGAGAAAGGAGCGCCGCTGGAGTCGACGAGTCCTACGGAGTCCGCCCGCATCATCCTAACTCTTCCCATCTGCGTCCAGGAGGCTCCAGCTAAATTGGCCGTCCGAGAACCAAGTACCAAGTGGATTGATTCAATCGACCATTTTGTGGTGCACGTTGGGATGCGCACGTCCCCTGCATCGCCGACCCGCACGACAGGGGGGAAGGGTGAGGGAGGAGGAGGAGGAGGACAAGGGGGAGGAGGACGACGAGGAGGAAAAGGAGGAGGCGGAGGTGGAGGAGGGAGGAGGGAAAAACGCTGTTGTCTATCATCAGCACTTCCCTGGCGTGGCGTCTAACAGTCCACAGCAGATCCTCGCCGACATGTTCCTTCTACGTGTCTTGTGCACTCAGGCGCTCTGGTGTACACCAGCGCTGCGTTGCACGCGGATGCTGTGGTGTTGACGCACGCCGCAGTGTGCACAGGCATTGCGGTGCACGTAAGCACTGTGGTGTAGATAGGCGCTGTGTTGCACACGGCTGCTGCTGTGTACAAATTCGTTGTGGAGTACAACAGGCGCTGCGTTGTACACGGCTGTTGCGGTGTACGCATGCGCTGTGGTGTACACGAGCGTTGTGGTGCACGCGAGCTTTGTGGTGTACGCAGGCGCTGAGAGGCAGATCGCCACTTACATGCTGCTCGCGTCGTCGTCCTCGTCCTCGTTCTCGTCGTCGCTCGTCGCTCGTCGCTCATCGCTCATCGTCGTCGTGCCCGCGGGCGCGGCTGTGGTGTCGGAACCACACGGCAGTCGGCTGGGCGTGACGTCATACCCCCCCTCCTCCCATGACGCCCGTCATCGCCGATAATAGAGAAACGCGCTCCAAGTGGTCCGACGAGGCCCCAAAAAGCCTCCCAAGTGGCCCCCAGAGGCTCCCAGGAGACGCACAAATGCTTCAAGATAGCCCGGAGGCCCCCGGGAGGATTTCCAGATTGCCTCGACCTGGCCCTAGGTGGACTCAAGTCAGGGTTCCACGTCGGCAAAACGGCAAAGGACGGTATCATTTTGCAGAACATCACTTTCCGACAACCCCGAGAATCCTTACGATGCTCCCAAGGGACCCATGAAGCCCCCAGACGACCCACCAAGAAACACCCAAGAGGTGCCTCCAACAGCCAATTGTGGAAGCGCGGAGAATCCTCCAGAAGCCCTTCAGATGCCCTCACGAATACCCAAGAAGTCCCGAAGAAGCCTTCAGGAGGCACGACTATGTCACGCGCCTGAGCTTGGTAGTGCTATCCAAGATCTCCCAGCGCCCCCCCGGCCTGGGCTAGACCCTGAGCGCCACTCCCGGCATGGGCTAGACCCTCAGAAGGCCCGTCCTTTCGGAATTCCCATCCTCGCTCGCAGCCGGAAAACAACTTGACAAAAAACACAACCCACCCGCCTGCAGGCAGCCATGCGACATAGCCAGAGAGACTAATAGAGAGGCAGGAACCAGGACAAGGTACATGGAGGAAATGGTACACGTACCGCTAACTTTGTGTCGTTCTTGCATGTTTGGGCCTCTAGGGAGGCCCTCGTCGCCACCGCTGGATACGCCTCAATTCTGGTCAGAGACTCCCAGGGAAAGGTCCAGGGAGTAGCGGAATTGGTGCCTTTTCGCCTCTTCGGAGACAGAAGGCATGAGGCACCAGCAAGACATACGATCAGCCCAGCAGGATGGTCTTTTGCACGGTGCCCCCAGAGGGGGCTGGTGGCCTTCCCTGTCGATTTCGAGACCAGCCACATCCGCGACCAGCGTAAGTCACGTGAAGCCTTTCGTAGAGACGTTCGGGAGCTTCTGTGATTGGCAGAGTAAGGCTTGCAAGAAGAAGTACCATGTGTGCTGGAGCGAGACACAGACCTTACAGACTAACATCCTCCGCGCCGCGGACAGCCTCGTCATGAACCCATCGGTACTGGATGACGTATTGAAATATAACTTGCTCATCCCGTTTCCGCATTCCATCCGAGAGTGCCGCGATTTTGGCCAGAGTTCTGGAACCAGGAAGGATTGGCGAAGGACTACGAACATCGCATTCTCTGAGAAAAGAGGCAGCCGCAAGTGAGCATAGTATCCATTTGCATCCCGAACTTCCTTTCTCATTCTGCCCTATTCGCTCTCATTGTTTTCCGATTGCCGCAAGGTCCCGAATGTGGGCTTAGCAGGCGCAGGTGGAGCAAGCCACTGATTCGACTCACACGGTGTCGTGCGTACTTTGGTCTCCACACCGCCACCAGAACTGCTTCTCAGCGTATTTCGGCCACTTGGCGAGCAGCGCCATGTCGTGCATGTCATGGGACATTCGAGACATGCTCTTTTCCTGTAGGGGAGATCTGCCGCCACCACAGCCGAGCTTCAATCTGGACGCGTGGGCACAGTAAGCTGCAGCATTGGCACCCACCAGCAAAAGTTCTGAGTGGACACGGGGGAAGCAGAGAAGGGAGGAGGGACAGGGGAAGGCACGCAATACCAACATAATGTTGACAGCGGCTAGAGCCAGGCGCTCGCTACTGCTGTCGCCCACGGGCATGGCGTTTGAATTCAGCTCGACAGAGCTGGCAACCTGTTGCCAAGTAGCCCTGAACGCACGCCAGTTCATGATAGGGATATTCTGACATGAATTTTATTTGCTCGTCAGTGCATGCCCTGCACTTCGGGTTTAGTCCTTGCGGTATCTACCTCGCGGAGGCGTCGCGTCCCTCGTGCTGTCTTGGGATGCCAGATTGCGTGTGACGTTTGATTACGGCTGTGACCATGTTCTGAGGCACGGCCTCACCCCGTCTCCGGTAGGCCTGGGCTGCTGTCCGCATTCGGTCGTCGGATGTGCCCAGGCAAATCGCCGCCACGTGGGTGTTTGCATGCACCAGAAAAAAATTCGCCAGCGCGCGCGCGTACCGATATGTGGTATCCCCAGTGGCCTTGGTGCCGAAACGAACGAAAGAAGCCGCGCCCAGACGGCGCATTGGCAGGCTAAATAACAACACCTGCGATCAGGAAAAAGGCAGGGCCTTGGTGCCCCTCAAAGGATCTCTTGGGGCCCTCTCGGGGGTCTTCCAGGCGCTCCCTGGGGCACACCTTGCAGTCTCCTGGGGACCTCCTGGGGGCTTCGTAGGCTTGACGGCCTCGTGGGGCCGTGTCGGGCTGGGAGGGTCCTCCTCCTCCACCTCCTCCTCCTCCTCCTCCTCCTCCTCCTCCTAAGGCATCTGGGTCAGGAGTGCCCACACAGATGCCCAGGGCGACAGGCGCCCAGCTCCCACACCACCTACATGCCTCTTTTCCGAGACATCCCCCTCACATCTTACCTCGTTGCTGATGGCTTCTAGATGTCTCAGTGTGGGCTGCTGGCTCCTGCTCGTTCGCGCGATGGTCGGCAGCCGCCTTCGCGTACTCCAGTACAACCCCTTGCACGCGTCCAGCGGAGAGAGGCTCACCGCGATCGCGCAGGCCTGCCGCGCGTACGACTTCGTGTGTCTGAATGGCACGACGGCCAAGGGCCACGGTCGAGAGAGGCCCTGGGAGGCTCGCTGGCGGAAAGCAGGAGACCACAACTGGTGTCTCGAAAGTGGGTGGGCCCGAGGTCCGTATACCAACAAAAGCGCTGGCTGCAGCATTCTCCTCGGGGCCAAAGTGAAGAAGTCCTCCGTGACGCACACCTGGACGCCCGCAGCTTCGCTGGCGGGACGCGGACTAGCGCTTCGTGCACGGTGCTCCACGTACGATCTTGGCGTCTGCTCGGCCTACTACCCACCACCTCCTGTCAAGGGCGGCTTGGAGGTCTACCGCCGCACCTGCGACGCGCTCACGGACTGGCTCCGCTCGCTGCCCTACCTCAGCTCCAAGCGGGTCCTCCCCATTTTCTGTATCGACCTGAACTCGGGGCTCGGACTTCACCAGCTTGACGGCGACCCTCAATGGCGACCCACTACATCCGACGTCAGCGGCCCCAAGGCGCAGGACAAGCAGCGCTACGCCGCGACCAGCATCCTGCCCCTCATGGAGGAGCTCGGCATGGTGGCGGTCAACAGCTACATAGGTCTGGGCCCGACGTTCTTCGGCTCGACCACGGCCTCGCAGATCGACTTCATCTTCGTGCCCAAGGCCTGCCTGGGCGACATCACCTCGGCTGGGCCGCTCCGCCGCTTGGGTCGCGAGCTGCAGGTTATCGCCACTCGCCAGCCCAGGGACCACGTCCCAGTCCACGCCTGCATGCACTACTCTATCTCGGCCACCACGGACTCTCACATTCACTGCGACATGACGGAGCACCGCCGCCTGGGCTACCTGCCGCGTGCCATCCGCTGGAACCGCGAGGCCCTCATGCAGTCTCTTCGCTCGGGCCAAGGTCGTGCTGCCTTCCTCATTGAGCTCGAGACCTACCTACGCGAGCACGCGGACGAGTGGGCCACCATCCAACGCGAGGAGCAGACACCTAGCGCCGACTGGGGCTTTATGATGGACGCTATGATGACCATTGGCAGCAAGCATTTCGCGCAGGCCCCTGAGTACCGCCCTGGGTATCGCACTCTGGCCGCTACCATCCAGCCGCTCTTGGACCAACAACGGGCTCTCCGACTCCAGCTCAGCGACGACCACTTCTCGGACAACGCCGACGGCGCGCTGGCTCTCCTCTCCGTGCAGTGGCAGCTCCGATGCCACACCAAGTGGCTCCGCTCGGCTCGCAGACAGTACTGGGCTACGTGGCGCATCGACACCGTCGACGAGCTCAACGAGGCCCGACGCCATGGACGCAGTGCTGAGGTGGCTCGCCTCTCCCGACTCCTGGCTGGCACGGGCGTGGGCCCCCGCAAGAGAGACTACCGACGGGCGCCTGTGGCCCTCCCCACTGGAGAGGAGCTGGCCGAGCGCTGGTCGCTGCCGGCTGGCGAAGGTGGCATGGCAGCCACTCACATTGATTGGGTCCAGCAGGCTGAGGATTACGTTTACCACGACGTCACTGGCCAGGAGGCGGAGCAGTTCATTGCGCCGTGGACCGAGGAGGGCCTGTGTTGGGCTAAACACCGCCTTCGCGAACTTCGCGCCTGGCTACGACGGGCCCCCAAGCGTCGCGCCTGCCCGCCGTGGTCGGTCCCGCTTGAACTATGGTGGATGCTGCTTCACCCGTGCCGCCGCGTGTCCAGGCGCTTCCACGGAGTTGGCTACGAGACACCGCAGATCGATCAGGAGCATACGTGGCGTTTTTTGGTGATCTTCCTCCATAGGCTTCGACGTTCAGGCCAGGTCCCGCTCGCGTGGCATTTGAGCCAAGGCGTGGCGCCCACCTGGAAGAGAGTCATTCACCTCCTCGACCCCTTCGGCAAGGGCTTCATGGCCACGGCGATGGACCCGCACGAGCTCCAGGACGAACCTCTTTTCGCTCACGGCTGTATACCTCATCGGCGCAGAGAGACGGCCATCCTGGGCCAGCAGCTGTGTACATGGAAGCTGCGCTCTCTCGGCCTCAATCACGTCACTGACCTCAAGGACATTACCAACGCCTTCGCGTCCACCAACTGGGACAGCCTCGCAGCCGCCAACCAGAGCATCATGAAGGACGACCAGGTTTCGTTCGGCCGCCAGCGCTTCCGCTTTGCTGCCGTGATGTTTGGCGACCTCTGCGTGCGCCCCAGCGTCGGGGCTCTCATTGGCGATCCGTGGGCGGTGAAAGTCTTTGTTCGGGACATCAGCACCGTCTTTGCGAAGGTGCAGGAACAGTTTGCGGAGTTCGGCCCCGAGACGGCTACCTGGTGCCAGCTCACGCTCAATTTTGATGGCGAGGAGATTCTTCTTGACTTGGCTTTTCACTCATATGTAGATGACGCCATTCGGAAGATCGTGGTGCCTGACCAGGCTACGGCCGCGGAGCTCGCGCGTTGGTCCCGAGCATATGACTTGCTTCTTTCGTCAGAGCTCCGACGTCACGGCTATGCGCTCAACCCAGCTAAGAACGTCAGCCTCTTGTCTTTCGTGGGCACGGGGCTCCATGCACGGCGGCGAGAAGTGGCGGAAAAAAAGGTTCTTCTCGCAGGGGTCCCAGCTGATTCAACCCGACATCTTGGAGGCCAGGTCATGGGTAATTGTTCGTTTCGGGCCGAGCTTTCGGCCCGCCTGGCGGCCATCTCTGCGGGCTTCCTTTCCATGGGAAAGTATTGGTACTCTCGGAGGATCGCCTACACCGAGCGCCGCGCTGTGTTCCTTGCCAGGGTTGTGGGTCCTGCGTGTTCCGCCTGCGAGGCCTTCTTGCCGTCCCCCAACCAGATTGACCAGCTCACGGCGCGGGTCGTCTTCTTCGGGCGCAAAGCTATGAGGGGTGCCGCGACGTCTTGGGAGGGGGGCCACGCTCGTTCGGCCTCTTCCGAGTCGGTCTTGAGGTATTGGCGGGTCCCTCCTCTCGAAATCGAGTTCCGTGTCAGACGTTTGCGGTGGTACCAGCAATGGGCTCGAGAGCCCGCGCGGCATCTAGGCGAGTGGGCCCCTCTCTTCGGGGACATGAACATCGAGAAACTGCGAGGCCTCCGAACCCTTACACCCGAGGGCCATCTCACGGAGACGGCGAACCCCTGGGCCATCCAGCACGTCAGGGACTTCGAGGCGCTTCGGAGGACGTCCGCGGACACCGAGGAGGATATGCGTCCCTGGTCAGGAGCCCCTTTGGAGTTTCTCGAGGAGGGGGACTTGCGGGACTGGTTCACGGAGTTGGACCTCTCAGTCGTCAGGGCCGCGTGGCTCTCGGTCAGCATCCCTCCTGCAGGCACCTCTGGCCCCCATCAAGAGGCACCGCCTGAGATTCCCGCAGGACAAGGTGAGGGCTTTCGCTGCTCCATCGGGAACTGCGCCAAATGGTTCCTCACGAAACGTCAGTGGCTGGTTCACGTTCGGGCCGCTCATGGTTACAAAACCTTGTTGGCTGAGGCTGTCCAGGGCGCTTCGTGCTTCGTTTGTGGCAGCAGGTTCCAGTCTCGCAACTCGGCTTACAACCACGTGCTGGACTCGTTCGCTTCGGGCTTCTGCAAGGTTCAGCTCGGCACGACTCTCGAGCTCGCTCCGTCGACAGGCCCATTCCGTTGCCGCCTATGTGAGGCTCAAGTTCTTTCCGAGCCTGCTCTTCACCTCCATACGCGCATCCACTTCGAGGACCTCCCGCTCGTGCTTGGAGGCGATGGATCTCGACGAGCCCAGCTGGGCAGTCGGGAAACGCAAGGGCCAGGAGACCAGCGGCTCCAAGGGTGCCAAGCAGGCCCGATTGCTCGCGGAGCTCGGCCAGGAGGCGCAGGCCAACCAGAAGAACGGCAAGGGAGGAGCGCTGGCGGCGCTCTTGGTGGTTCTCACGAAGCTCGCCCTCACCAACGCGCGCGAGTTGGCCGAAGTGACTGGCGCCTGCTTCACCTCGTGCATGGTCGGGGCAGAGGTTCCGTTCGTCAAGGTGTTGCAGGAGACGGGCAAGACGCACGCCGAGAACTGCAAGGCCGGCGGCAAGGACCACCAGCACGGCCCCCCCTGGCCGCACGTGTTCAAGGCGTTCATCAAGTGGGCCTGCAGCACGGATGGGGCCAACACGACTCCAGCGGCAGCGCAGACGGTGTTCCAGGACTACTGGCGGAAGGTCATCCTCGCCCCGTCGGCGCTCGAGACACTGGCGATCCACTGCCGCCACTTCCGCCTCAAAGCCTGCTGGTACGACAAGAAGAAGCTCTCCAAGCCCGACAGGTTCAAGCTCCAGATCATGCTCGGAATCCCGCAACAGGCGAACCCATGGGGCGACGGCTCAGTTTCTCTGATGGAGGCGGTTCAGCAGACGGCCATGGCGGCAGGCTCAGACAAGAAGGACCAGACCGTGCGCTTTCCCCCTGGGGCGCCGCCGAGAGGCGGCTTGGAACGCGAGGCTTCGAAGCTGCTGGCGCAGCTGGGGATGAAGGACAAACCAGCAGCGGCGCCCGACG